TTGTGGTTTTAATTTGCATCTCCCTTATTACGAGTGATGTTGAACATTTTTTCATATGCTTGTTGGCCATCTGCATTTCCTCTTTGGAGCTGTGTCTTTTTAGTTCTTCAGCAGCAGAATATTTTTAAGAAGAAAACTTTAACTATTGAGATAACATTGGTTTACTGTATATGATTTAGGAGACTAGGTTTACACCACCTCAGGTATATATGAGCACAGCACACCACACCCACCACCAGAGACCACTGGACTCCCGCCCCTCTTTGACTCTCCCCCTTTCCGCAGAAGCCTCAGTTTTGCAGTCAAATTTCTAGGCTTTGTTTTGGTTTCATTTTGTCAGTTCCTATGTTTCTTTTCTCTGTATTTCACGTGAGTGTAATCATCTGGTATTTGTCTTTCTCCTTCTGAATTATTGAACTTACCATAATCCCCTCCAGTTCTATCAATGTTATCATCAATGGCAAGATTTCATCTTTTTTAGAGCTGACTAGTACTCCATCATGTATATGTACTACATCTTGATCCATTCATCTATCTTTGGGCACCTAAGCTGTTTCTATAACTTGGTTATTGTAAAGGTGTTGAGGTGAACATAGGCATGCATGTGTCCCTTTGAATTAATGTTTTTCCATTCTTTGGCTAAATACCAAGGAGTGAAATTGCTGGATCATATGGTACATCTATTTTTAGTATTTTATGAAATCTATTGTTTTCCATGGGTCTGATCAGTCTACATTTCTATCAACAGTATACAAAGTTTCCTTTATTTTTCCATATTCTCACCAGTTTTTATTGTTTCTGTTTCTATTTTGTCCATTTTGGGTTTTTGTTTTTGTTTTTTTGATATGGGCCATTCTCACAAATGTGAGGTGATATCTCATTGTGGTTTTGAATTGCATTTCCCTAATAATAAATGATGTGAACATTTTTTTTTATGTGCCTTTTGACTATATGTCTTCTTTGAAATGTCTATTATTCCACCCATGTTTTGATTTTTTTTTATATTTTTGTTGAGTTGTATGAATTCTTTGTAGATCTTGAATATTAGCCCTTTGCCAGATGTATTATGCACAAAAATTTTCTCCCATTTGGTAGATTATCTTTTCATTTCAATGATCCTTCATTTGCTGTGCAGAAACTTCCTAGTTTGACATAGTCCCATTTATTTTCCCATTAGAATTGAGTCCCCAGAAACATCAGTGAAGCCATGTTGTGGAGTGTTTGGCTTATGTTTTCTTCTATTTTGTGGGTTTTGGCTTTATATCTAAGTCTAATCTACTTGGAGTTATTTTCGTGTGTGCTATGAGAGAGAAGTGTAGTTTCATTTTTCTGCATGTGAGTCCAGTTTTCCCACTTTTCCTTTTGTGGAAAAGACTTTCCATTCTCCATTGCATACTTTTCACTCTCCATTGCATTGGCTTCTTTGATATGAGGATTAGCTACCCATATAAATGTGGGTTTATTTCTGGGATCTTGGTCTTTGTGTTTGTTTTTATTCCAATACAATGCCATTTTGGTTACTATAACCTTATGGTATAGTTTGGAGTCTAGAAATATGATACCTCTGTTTCTCTTCTTTTTTGTCAACATTGCTTTGTTGTAGTTTCCTTACAAATTTCAGTAATGGTTGCTCTACTTTAAGAATTTCATTGAAAATTGTTAGAGATCAGGCCCTTCCTAGTGGCACAACAAGTTATAGTGCAGCACTGTGAAGTAATCCACAGCCACTACAGCATGCGTTCAATTTCTGGCCACTCAGGGGCTGACACATGGCGTGGCAGACCTCTCCTGACCCGCCCACTCCTCCCTTCAGCAGTGTATTTCAGTCAGTCTGCCTGTTCTGCTCCCCATTCTGTCTCTGGTGAATCCTCTCACCCCTTACATCTCTGGCCTATACCCCAGTTCTTGTATGCAAATAAAGAAGTCTTCTAAAAAAAATTGTTAGGGATTACACTGAATTTATGTAGTTTTTTGGGTAAGATGGAGAAGAGAACTTTTTAAAAACCTGTTTTTAAGTGTAAATAGATTGAATATGTTTGTAAATAAAATGATTGTATTTTGTTCTGTTTTCAGGTAGTTCCAGAAATATATCTCAAGATACTGCACAGACTACAGGTACACATCTTACTTCAGAAGAGCTACGGAAGAGAAGAGAAGCCTACTTTGACAAGTAAAGTAGTTGGTACAATATTAAATTTGCATATGTAATGTTTGCTTTGGCTATTTTGTCTGTCTGTGAACATATTTCTTTGACGTAAAGTATTGATTTTATTTAGGGTGTTTTAATTACTGCTTGAGCCCTATGAACATTTGAACAGTATTTGTTTGTTTTTTAACAAATAGCATAAAAAAATCCTTGTAAAATTTCAGTTATCAAAAGCATCATGGTCAAGTCAAAAACCAGTGTATAATTGTCCTCTGCATGTGGTTCTTGGTTATCTGACTAACCCTGCAAAGTTCTCCTTCTCTCAGTAGGGAAAAAGCATTTTTGGTGGGGGTTCCTGCTTCCAGAGGTGGTGGTAATTGCTTTATTTTCACTTTAGGGGAGAGTACATTGCAGGGTTCTGGGATCAGGGACATGGGAGTAAACCATAAATCTGAAATACCAGGTCCCAAGACCTAACTGTATGCCTGATGTTACAAGTACTCTCAATAGAATTTTCACCCTATAAAAATACCATCCTTTTCAGTAACAGTCAAACTCCATCTTAAAAGATTTTATATAGACCCTCTGATTCTACGTCAGAAAAAAAGGACCAGTGGCTGAACCTGGCCTGTTCTTTACTATTGTTTATTATATCATCAGTTTTGAGGTGCACACTTTTCACATTTCAAAGCCTCTGAAATTGAGCAGCATCTGACAATCATAATTGACAATAGTGGTATCTAAAATATTGGCGCAGTTTACATTTGATGATGTAATGAAGATAATATTTACCTTGTTTTCTGTTTTTTTTAAAGTCACAACTCAGAAGTGTATGATGGAAAGTTCTGATCAACTGACATCCTCTTAATGTGAGATATTTCTAGTCTTTATTCAGTGATAGATTAATGGATTTAATTATACATAAAATTTCAAAATAGTACTTGTTTTAGTGCTTTTCACTTCCATTTAAATTTTAATTTTTTACATTGCAATAGATTTCAAATTTATGTAAAAGTAGAGAAATCAGCATTATGAAGGCATATATATCTGTTGCCCAGATCTAACAATTATCAGCACCTGGCTAGGGTTTTTTTTTCTGCCCCCATCTCCATGCCTTTCTACTCTACCACCCCCAGTAATAACAATTAAATCATCATATCTTTCATTTGTAATAATTTCAGTCTGTGCCTCTAAAATATGCAGGTTTTTTTAAAAAACAGCCAAATGATATTGTCACACAGTACAGGTAGTTATTATTGCTTGGTCATATTAATGATAATTGTTTTATCAATTAGTATTTATAAACTAAAAACTAATGTTCTAAGAATTTTAAGAAGTATCAAAATTGAAAGAAAACCTAAATTTCCATGGCTTTATAATTGTTAGTGTTTGTCATGTTCTCGGTTAGGTGCAGTTACAAATACCTGTTTCCCTTGATAGTAAATACTCTGCAGCAGGCCACATGGTACGTCATAAAGTGAATGTATGCTTATTACTTACGTATGAACCTTTTGATTTGTACCATTATGAATTAATTACTCAGCAAACTGTCCTTGGACTAGTTTTATGCTTCAGATCATCATTCCTTTTAATTATTCTGAAGATGTCAGATTATGGGGTTAAAAGACTTGAGCATTTTTAAGACCTTAGTACAGAGTTTTAAATTGCTTTCCAGAACAGCTCCCAAGTGGTATTTATACCATGTTTTTTTCAGACTTTGATTTTTACCAGAATAAATTGTTCAGACACATGTGCCTTATAGAGAAATTGCAAAATTTGTAAGTACACTTAAGAAAAGGAAAACATTTAAAGTATAAAAACAAATCCCTTTCTATTTAAAAATATATCTTGTAATGTTTTTTGATTAAAAATGTGGAAATTCCAGTAGATTGAGACAAAGGATAATGTAGTAACCTTTCATAACAAATAACTTAGAATACATACAGTACCAACAGTAAATAATGAGATTTCAGTCAATCTTGAACCTTTTAAAAATATTTGAGCTGGGCCTCTCTGGTGGTACAGGGGTGAAAGTCTCAGTGCAATCAAAGTACTGCTAGCCACTGTGGCATGAGTTCAGTTCCCAGCTAGGGAGCTGGCCCACATTGTGCAGCAGACCTCTCCTATCTCACCTGCTGCTCCCCTTAGCAATGTATTTCAATCTGCCTGTTTAGCTCCCACTCTTTCTCTGGTGATCCTGTCCCCCTACTCCTCTGGGTTTTACCCTAGTTCTTATGTGTATAAATAAATAAAAATAAATCTTAAATTCACAAATTAAAATTTGAGCATTGATTGGTATGACTCCTTCCTAACTGAAAATAGTTGCCTGGGGAGGGAGATACATAGTGGTAGTTTTCAGTTGCTGCTTTTTAGCCTCTGTCTCCTGGTTTGACCTTGAAAACATTGGTGAAACTTGAGAATTACAGAGAATATTTTATAGATTTTTTTATAGATTTTTTTATAAATGTTAAGACGCCTTAAGAGAAAACTTTAGTATTTCTTTTTAACATTGATTAACAATGGTTCTTGTAGGACTCAGAGTAAAGAGAAACTAATGCTTGTCTTTTACTAAAATTCCTTATTATGAGGCCTGACTGAGTCCTTGTCTCTCTGGTTTCCATCTTTGGAAACTCACCTTTAAGGTTATCAAGCTAACTCTTCCTTCTACTTTATCCATATTGACCCTGGTGCTAATTTGTTGTGTATTCAAATTTTTAGTTTTTCCCCATGTATTTTAAGCTTCATACTTAATGTAATAACCACTGTGTGCACAGTATGGATGCATCGATTATACATAATAGGACTTCTCTAGTGTAAAAGATACTCTCAGAAATCTAATTATTGGAAATTAATCATTTACAGTAATTAAATGTTAGTTTCAAAGTCATATTTCTCCAGGAGTTACCAGCAAATCCATTTTATCACTAATAAACCCCAAGCAAAACACCTGCTTACCTCCGTGTTAGGGCCAATAAAAGCTAGACTGTGTAACTACTGTGTCACCGTAAAATAGTGCACAGATACACGTTAGCAGTATTCTTGCCGTCTCCAGGTGTAGCTTTAAAATGATGCAAATTCTTTCTGTCTCTAAAGTGTATTCCCCAACAAGGAGGGAAACAGATGCTGTTTTCATAATCATAGATTGTATAATTTTTGTTTGTTTTGATTGCCTGATACTTAGACCACTGCTTCAGTGCCATGGCATAGTTTATCAGTTCAGTTTTAAGAAACAGTAACTGCTAGAGATAATTTAGAAAACACCTGACATAGAAATTAAAACCCTGTACAGTACTAGGCAGAACTGAAGGTGCATTCTAGGCCGCCCTCCTGATTAAGGAGGGCGCCTGCCTGATTAAGATGATGGGGAACCTGGGTGTGGAGTTTAAGGGTGACCTGAGATAGCCGTGCTCCTACGTTGAGGGAGCTGCCCATAGTTGTCTAGACATGGAGTCATGAAGTCTGGCCCCCACTACAGAAGCAAAATTCTGGGGCTGGGCCAGCAGAAAGGAACGAAAGCAGCAGGCGGTACCTGTCTTTCATTCCTGCTTTTTACTTCTCATCTTAGTGCTTCATGTAATCAGAACCCTAGTTGGACACCATCTAAGACACGTGGTTTTTCATTTTCTGGCCTCTCTAATGCTGAAGACACATTAGAAAACAGTAAGAATGGATGCTGAGTACTGAACAGCTTCATATTACAGTGTTGTCTCATACAAAAGGTGTCAAAGCTGCTTCAAGATTGGCAGTAGATTGACTTGTAGCACTCCTTTGTATTATGACATACTTTCTTGAGGAGGGGAAGAGGGCAAGGAGAGAGATATCTGATGTGCCAGGAGTTTCTCATATCTCTGACCTGACTTTCTCAAGCCACATTCCAGAATTAGGGTTTGCTAGTCCATCATTCGCCACACACTGTATAATTACAAATCTGTGCAAATGTTACATGATGGCTCAGAGGCCTGTAGGGACAGGTTGTAATTTTCTGTTTGCATTTTTTTGTTGTTGTTCATATTAAAACCTAAGATCAAGAGGAAACCTTCGAAGGGAATGTGCTATTCTCTTAATAATATTGCTGCTGCTAAATTTCTTAAAAGTTCTTGTTCCTTTAAAAATCCTTATATGCATTTTTAAACTATCTTCTCAGATTGTCAGCTGTTCTGTTTTTTTTTTTAATTTTAAGCATATATGTATATAGATATATATAGAATAATTAGACTAAATGATAACAAAGTCCTAGAGTGCCTGTGCCCTTCATTCAGAATCCTCTGTTGCAGATATTTCTGAATCATTGAGAATCATTTGCAGATATGATTTCCCATTAGATCTTAATACTTCAGTGTCTAAATACAAGAAACACACTTACATATTTATGTCATAATCATGTTTTTTTTATGTGTATTTTTATGATACAGGGAGAACTGATTTCAGTATAATATATATGACTGACACTTTACAATGTGTGTGAAATAGTTCTCGTTTTTTTTTTTCATTTATCAAGTATTTAGGCACTGGGGGGAAGGATACAGTTTGCATTCTTGTTAATTTACACTCTCAGGAGGGAAACAAAGGGAAAAATTCAGGTAGTAACAGTGTACACAGCAAATGGAAATGAAGAGATAGTAAGACTGCAGAGTGGATAGTATGTCGGGGAAGGCCTCGATGAGGGCAGGTGCACTCACATCTGATTGACAGTTCTTTGGTAATTTGATATGGTGTGTTTCTCAAAGGTAATTACTTGCAGTGATTTCCAACAATATTAAGTATCAGTAAACCAACCAGTGTTACATAAAAGCAGCTGGTGGCACAAGGGGTTAAAGTGTAGTGCTCTTAAGCGATCCATAACCCCTGCAATATAAATTCCATCCCTGGCCAGGGAGGTGATCCACATGGTATGGCAGACTGACCCACCTACAGCTCCCCTCAGCAGTGTATTTCAGTAGATCTGCCTCTTCTGCTCTCATGAATCCTTTCACCCCTGGCCTGTACCCCAGTTCTTATATGCATAAATAAATAAATCTTAAAAAAAAAAAAGCTGCCAGAGGATCATTTGGTCAGTGGCTTATTTTGTGGTATCTGACAAACAAACTTGATATGTGGGTTTTCTGAGACCAACACTGATACATATCGCACTGATTGCTCTTTATTTTCCTTTTTGTGGTGTTCATGCCAGTGGAATCGCTTTGTTTGCCATGTGCATAGTTTTTCTCGTGGCTTACTTTAGGTTTTGGTTTTTTTTTTTTTTTTTAATGTACACTTACTTTTGAATGTTTCAGGCAGCAGCAGCAGCAACAACAGCAGCAGCAGCAGCAGCAGCAGCAACAGCAACAGGATCTTCCAGGACAGCTTTCATATCCTTGTGAAAGGCCAACCACAAGCTCAGGAGCCCTTGGCAGTGAACTCGGTACTCTTCTCTGACCACACTGCACATATATGGTTCTGTGCTATGTCTTGACATACAGGCACCATGTGATCTTCAACTATATAGGGTTTTTTCCTCTCTTAAACTGTACTGAAACTCTTGAATAAACTTGTAATCTAATTCCTCTGCAGTAAAGGGTAGGCAGTAAATTATTAACAGATGCTTCACTTTTAAGTAAAAATTGCAATATCACTGTAGTAACAAGACCTCCTCTTCCCATCCCAAAAAGGAGTGATTAGTGAGAGACAGTGGCTAGCCAGAGCACATCTCCCTTTGTCTGGCAGCAGCAAGGCAGCACCCCGTTAACCCTACCATTGCTGTCATAGAACTGCTAAAAGAGAAGATTTAACTAAGGTTTAGTGTTATAATTCCCAGAGTGTTCAGGATTCAGTTGAAAAACACATAATAGCAAAAGACAGGAAAATTTCAACTTGAATCCCATTACGGAGATGACAGATAGAATTATTTGACGAGGAGTTTTGAAATAGCCATCTTCAAAAGGCTACAATGAACATTTCTGAGCACAATTGAAACACAGGAAAAATAGAAAACTTTAGGAAAGAAGCTATAAAGAACTAAATAGAAGTTTTAACACTGAAAAATAACAACTGAAATTTTAAAATTCAATGTGAATGGACCCAGCAGCTAAATGAAAGGAGAGAAGAAAGATTAGGTGAACTTGAAGACAGAAGAATAGAACTTAGTCATTCTGAGCAATAGAATTAGAAGACAAAATGAACAGGAACTTAAGAGAGCTATGGGACCATAATAAAAGATCTAACATTTATGTCAGGGGCATTCTAGAAGATGAGAAAGGATGGAAGCAGTAGATAACCTACAGATTTAAGAAACCCAAGTGAATCACATAAGGATAAGTCCAAAGAAATCCATAATCATAGTCTAACTTTTGAGAACTGAAGACAAACCTAGAAAAATCTTGACAACCGATTAAGAAACACTGTATTGAAACAGCCCTGCGCTATGCCACATGGACCCAGGGCTGTATCTGCAAAGGGCTATAAGACAAGTGCAGCTACTCTCCCGAAGTCAGGGACACTAAGCTCACGGATGTAAACAGCCAGATGTACAAACCTGCATTATTTCATGTCACATCTTACCCTGTTTCCTTTGATCCTTTTCCTGTGATATAAATGATGATAAAAGTTATTGACATTTTAAAAAGAAACCCCCATAGCATTTTTTATGATACCAAATTTCTTATCTGAAATTGGAAGTAGTGCATTGTAGGGGCCTCCCAGCTGGCCCAGTGAGTTAGGTCTCAGTACTGTGAAGCTATTGCAGCCACTGCAGCACAAATTAGATCCCTCCACCAGGGAGCTGACCCACATGGCACAGCAGACCTCTCCTGTCTCGTCCGCTGCTCCCCTCAGCAGTGTATTTCACTCAGTGCACCTATTCTGCTCTCCATTCTGTCTGGTGAATCCTCTCATTCCTCTGTACTTCTGGCCTACACGTACCCTGTTCTTATATGCATAAATAAATAAAAATAAATCTTTTTTAAAAGGTAGTACATGGCAACTGTTCAAAAAGAACTTAATCCAGAATTCTATTTTCAGTGAATACTTTTTCCAGAGTGAAGTGGAAAATTAATTCACCAACAGATTTACCCTGAAGAATTAGTAAAGGAAGGCCCCTAAACAGAAATGATAAAAGAAATCTTGGAAATTTAGGAAGGGAAAAAAGGAAAACAGTAAAAATATGGGTAAACACAATAGTCTTTCCTCTCTGAGTTTCTTAAATTTACTAATTGAAGCAAGAATTAGAACGTGGATTTGGTTTTTAGTATACACACACAAACACACATGAAATATTTAAGCAAATTTTATTGGAAATAGGAGAGAGAAAAGTGAGTTAAGGGTTCCACCCTCACTTTAATTGGTCCAGCCACTGTGGTAAATAATTTGGCCGTTTTGTTAAAAGCCGAATGTGGGCCCTTCCTGCTGGTGCAGTGGGCTAAAGAGCAGCAGTAGGAAGCTGTCCGCAGCCACTGCAGCAAGTCCTGAGTTTGCAGCCTGGCCAGGGACTGACCCACATGGCACAGCAGACCTCTCCTGTCTCCCCGCTGCTCCCCTCAGCAGTGTTTCAGTAGATCTACCATTCTGCTTTGCACTCTGTCTCTGGTGTACTTCTCACTCTCTGCACCTCTAGCCTATACCCCAGTTCTTGTATGCATAAATAAATAAATCTTTAAAAAGAAATGTGCATTGATTGGAAGACACAGCATTTATCCAGAGAAGTGAAAATTTTGTCAGTGCTAATACCTTATTTGTTACAATCAAAAACTAGAAACAACTTAAATACCCTGCAGAAATTAGATAAACAATCTGTAGAGCATGTATAACATAGATGACTACTAGGGATTCAGAAGGAGCCAACTATTGATGCATGAGTGAATCTCAAGAGTTATACTGAGTCCAAAAAAAGCAGTCTCCAAAGATTTCTGCATGAATCTTATTTGTGTAACATTTTTTAAAAGACAGATGTATAGTGATGGAGAACATTAGTGATTACCTACAGTTAGAAAAAATGGGAGAAAAGAAGTTGGTGTGAATATAAAGGAGTTACAGGGGTGATTTCAGATATTCATTCTGTTTTGTGCTGGTAGTGTTTCAACAAATCTGTACATACATTAACATTCCACATATAAGTGTGTGATTGAGTTTTAGTTCTTTTTAACTACTGGGTGCGAGTGAGTGGCAGTGTACATAGGACCTCTCTGAACTATCTTTACAACGCTCTGTGAATAATTATTTCAAAACAATCTTTTTAAGTAACATGGTTGACATATACAACTAAGTCAAGTCTTCACTCCAGTGTGTTGATTTGCAATACTAAATAAATCCATTATGCTACGTGAAAGAAGCCATATTCAGAAGATTCCATACATGTTGTAGTCATACATGATTCTATTTATGTTAGCATGCAGGAAAAGGCAAAACCATAGGGCAGAGCATACCAGTGTTGCCTCTTTGGGGACTAACCACCAAGGGGCAGCAGTGGAGCATATTTTTGGGTAATGAAATGGTCTGTATCTGATAGGTGGTGGCTGTACAGCTCTGTATTTGTCAAAGCTTCTATAAGCACCCTCTTACATAAAAGTGAATTCTAAAAGGAAACTTTTACTAGTCAAATAAAAATACATTTTCTAGGAGCTTACCTTTGCAGACTTGGAAAAATTTCCAGAAATTCTAAGAATAGTATCTCTTTTCTTTCCCAACAGGTGATATGAGTGAAGAAGACATGCTTCAAGCAGCTGTGACCATGTCTTTAGAAACCGTTAGAAACAATTTCAAAACAGAAGGGAAAAAATAATTCCCTTTATATATCATTTAGATATTCGTACTTTCCAGCAGTATCCTGTGTGATTGCAGCATAGGGTCCATTTTGGTAATGTGTCAGAGAACACAGTTCAACAGAGGAAAAAGGCCTTTAGATGGTTTGCAAACAAAAACATGTGAATGGAAAACTACGTCATTTGTAGGACTGAAAAATGCTCCTCCAAGTCCTAGCCAAAGAGGCATCCAGCAATTAAAGAAATTTAAAATAGTTTTCTAAATGTCCCTTTTTCTTTGAGTGTGCAATATCTGACATGTCTAAAGTTTGGGCATTTTCCTGGATCTTTGCAGACCAACTAATGCGCTCTTGCCACCAAACTGTTCTCTCCCACCCTTCTGTGTAGGTAACTGGCCTCACGTGGGTCACCCACTAGTTGTTTTTTATTTCTCGTTAACCAGATTAACTTTATAGGGCAGTGTCTCTTGCCTTTGTTGAAAATAGTCACGGTTCCTGAAGGGGAGGATACGCTCTTCTCCCTCCCACCTATGTTCTGACTTTGGGTGTTTTCTCATGTTACTTTCTCTGACCAGTTTTCTGCTACTTGTTTTTCTTGTTATTTTCCTACAACTCTTTTGAAGTTGATAATTTTCCTTGAGTTTTACTTTTTAAAATCTACGATGGGATCATTATTTCCTCATTTTGGTGCATTCCTAAACTCTGAAATCAGCTCCGCACAAGTATTGAGAATAAACAAGCCTTTCTTTTTTAACATGTGAGCATTGTCCTTTCCCAGGAGTTCTGTGACTGTCTTTTCAATTCTGTCAGAACTTCCCAGCTTTGTTGTAACTCTCCTTGCTGCACCTTGCTGTTTCTTCTCCATTTGAGAAGAGTAGGAGAAGCATGGCATGCAGGTGGACGGCCTTCTGTTGTAAGACCTGATGTGTAACGCCCATCACAAATGTGCCATGGGTGAAATTTGGCCTTCATCTTAGTAGTATTTCACTGTAATTTTTCTCTTGTGACTGGAGTTATCTGTTCTGTTTACAGTTGAGGCATGGAGCGTAGGTGTCTGCTTCTGCTGCATATTCTTCATTGGAGTACAACTTGCCAGAGATGATGATCTAGAATATGAGAAGTTACTAATGAAAATATATTTAAATTTATATTGTGATTTTGACACTTGCATCATGTTTAAATAGTGTAAGAGTTATAGAAGTCACACAGTACTTAATGGGTCTGTAAATAAGAAAGGCTTTAGTTTTGATAAACATTCTTTAATTCAGATGCACAGAGGGTTTCTTACTGGGTCAGTGGAGTGAAATGGTTTTGGTGAATATTAACCACGTCTCTCTGAAATGGGTGTTTTAGATTCTGTTATCTACTCCTCATCCCACATTCTCCATCCCCTTTTGAAGCCCTTTTGAATGTTGAATTGTTCATAAGCTAAAATTTAAGGAGAAATTTCTGCCAACAACTTAGAAAGTTAAAGTATAGTATGTTGCCAAGCTGGCTGCACACATTTTATCAGGGAACTTTTTTGACTATAGGATTTAGGATTTACTGTTAACTGAAAAATATAAATTTTTTCTTTAATTTGTGATTATGAAATAGATTATTCTTGAATAGAAACATATTTTAGTCATTATTTTGTGCCAAATTTTTCTGGTTTCTTTTACATCAAACTAGACAGTTTTATTTTAAAATCTGAAGTTTTCTTTTGGAAATTGAGAATGTTTGAGAAGAATTATACAGCTTCAGTACTACTCTCTCAAGGTTTATAAACCAAAATAGTAAGATGGACATTTCTGTGTTATCCTCAGTATGCTAGTCATTATCCACCGGTAATCTGGCCTTTGCCTTTCCCCATTCAAAAATCGCATTAGATTTTCATATATGTGAATTGATGAGCTAACATCAATATAAAAATGAGAAAACAAATATGCACTTGAAAGATTGAAGCTCAGACTATATAAAGTTCTTCTATTACGCACCCTGGCAAAGCACTTGGGGAAATGTGGCCTGTTGACCTTTATATGTTAGGTTTTTCTTTTTTTTTTTTTTTTAGTAGAGCTGAACACACTGGATATATATGAATGTGTTTATTTAGTTTATTGTGAAATTGTTATATATGGCAGGCAGATCCATAATCACTAGTTAACTGCTGTGTTGTTTGGATTGGCAAAATTTTAATTGAACAAATATTTAGATTTCATTTCTTAACTGATTGGCCAGTATGAAAAGATGTCAATATTTATAACCATAGTATCAGAAAATTTAAAAGTTATTGCAAACTTGTCCATTTGTTATGAACTGCTATTTGTTGTAAGTCACCTTCCAGAAAGTTAGGAATGAGAAATTCCTATCTGTCCTGCTAAGAACTTTATTTATGTAAAGATTTCCATTCTTTTAAAACTAATTGGGAACTCCTTAATGTTTAATATTTAAAGTTATATCATTTTTTTAATGTATAACTTGTATGGACAGGATAAAACCCAAGCAGTGGCAAGTGGCATTGCTAGTGTTACAAGTAAAGTTTAAACAATCTTTATGAAGACCACTTCCATATTTTCAGGTGTTACAAACTTACTAATAGTACTGTAGTTATTTGTGTTCTAAATTCAGAGTCGTTAACCTGTGATCTAAAATAATCAGTACACTTTATATTAGCATACAAATATTTCAGTAACATTCACTGGTTGAAAACTATTTGCTCTCAAGAGTTGGGCCAAAAAATTTACAATTTACAGAATATTTAAAGAGGTGCTTTTTATCTTTAAAATTTATTTTCTTAAGATTTTATTCATGCCAAAGTTAATAAGGAAAAAACTTCAATACTAGTTGAGAATAATTAGAAGCAAAACTGCCAATAGTCTATTTCATTTAACATTAATTTGAATAAAATAAATTTTATTCCAATCAAAATCTTAAGTCACATTTTCAGTGTGTGCATGTTTGGGTTTTCAGAAAAGTTGTGATGTATTTTTTCTATGTTTTCCAAGCAAAAATGTGTCATGACTTTTCTGATAACCCGATATTTTTTAAATGTTAGTGCCAAGATTGATTGAATGTCTTAAAACTGGTCCTTGGACCTAAGCAATTTCAAAAAAGATTCAGTGCATAAGCAACCTACAATGATAATTGAAATATCTTTAAAATATTGATGTTTTAAATTCTTAAAAAGGGTCAGTAATTTTGATGATTCCTCATGAAAAGCTCTGTAACTGAGTCTCAGGCTGCTGCTGGGTGGAGGGGCTGTACGTGTGGTCTTCACAAAAGCCAGATGTGAGCAACCAACCCTTTCAGCATTGTAAATATATTTTTTTTATATTTTCAAAACAAAAACTTTCTTCATTCCTGGTTCCTTCATAACCAGCATCTTTTGCTTAAAAAAATAATTGGCTTTTATTAAAGTCTTACAACAAAAACATTTTTGTTCTCTTCTGCTTTCATCAGTGAGAAAATCGACATTGTTAATTCTTGAAATTTGATTTATTCTTAATTTGCAGAAAATGTTAGCTTTTTTTTAATGGTTGGCATTTTCAAAATTAGTGCTAGTGACATCACTTCTAAATTAACAGTATTTGGTATTTTAATAGCAAAATAATTTTAATAAATTTTAAGACTTCATAGCAAGGAGTGGGAAGCACTCGTAAAATATTGGTGGAAATTCCTGATAGAGTGGACTCTTGCATAGTTATGAAAAAAATGTTTCCAGGATTTTTTTTTTTTAACAAGGAAGACATTTGAAAGTGATTAATATTTACCACACTGGACTATGACTAACATTTGAAACATTGCTGTTCTGTATAAGTAAACTTTTGAAGTTAAAGTACAAAAAAACCCCTGAAATCAAAAGCATTGTATTTTGGCCATGAACATGTGCACTGTTGTAGTGCGATTTGCTCAGGACCCAACCTACAGCCCTGCTGTGTGCATTTCTCCAGAGTTCTCTTGCCATGTTGACACACACGGGTCTCCCTGTCTGGTCCTTAGGAAAGCCGGGCTTCCAAAGCACTGTTGAACACTGAGGGTTCTATTGTGAATGTGGATGTTCGATAAGTTGTATTTTAAATATCAAAGATTATTAAATAAAATGTTTGCTTTTTTATTTCTGACGTGGTTATTGTGACTTCATAGCCGCCTTATTTAGAGTGTGGTTGTAAGAACAGTAGCACTGACTGCCACCACCTGAGGTTTTCAGAAATGCCTACTCTTAACCAAATCCCTTGTTAACAATGTGCCCCCAATGATTCATCTGTAGAGGCAGGGCAGTCCTCCCACACTGCTCTGGCTAAGTGCTGCCACGGGGCTGGTTGCTGCTGGATCCCCTAATTTTCTTTTTTAAGATTTATGTATGCATGCAAGGGCTGGGGTGCAGGCCAGAGGGGTGGATTTAGGGGGAGAGCATTGAGAGGATTCACCAGAGGCAGAATCAGTGCATCTACTGAAACACACTGCTGCTGGGAGCAGTGAGGAGACAGGAGAGGTCTGCTGTGCCACGTATGTTACCACCACCACCCACCCCACCCCACCCCCATCCCCTCGGGATTGAACTCATGCAGTGGCTGCTGATAGCTTCATAGTTGGAACTTAACCTCTTGTGCCACCAGAGAGCCATCCCCCCACCCCCATCTTTCCTAAGAGAATTCCACCAAGTGGAGAGCCAGGTGAAGTACAACAGGAACAATTTTTTGAGGAGTGTTTTCCTCATACATTACCAGACTCCAGCTCCCTACTGAGACATTGTCTTCCTGCTAAATCTGCATCTTTTTCATCACTACCACCAGACAACTATAGTTCCATTTTGAAAGTTTAGCATTATATTTTGGTGGTTAATCCACCAACTGCAGTGATTAAGAACTATTTTCTATGTATAGCCTACTTGTCTTTTCACTCCTAGTCTAGGACGTCATCCCGTACAAAAAGCATTGCAGTGACAGTTGTTTACTTGGTATTCAGTCTATTTACTTTTATGTAGCTTATTTTATAACATCATACATGTTTCTGGTGTGTAGAATACTGTGTATGACTACATTACACCTGTCACCAAAAGTTTTGTCCACTACACAATTGACCCTTATACCCACTCTGTTGTTGAATCCAGACTTCCCAAAGCTGTTTAGCCCATTCACTCCAGTCACCTTTAAGGCAACCTTCATGATAGTTAATGTTACAGAAAATATGTGTATAAATATTGGAGAGAATGTCATTACTTGCCAATATTGTATGCCTAGTAACCCTAAAAAGTTAAAACTGAAAAGCTATTGGGACTAAATTAAGCAGGCCAATCAGATACACTAAACAAAAACAGATTCTTTGCATATCATCATAACCTGTCAAAAAATGGGATGGAAAAATATTAAGCCCAACGTCTAATCCATGGAGCACCAGAGGGTCCTAAATTCCACGCTGAGGAGAAAGGAATGGCCCTTGTCTCTGAGTTACACATTGGTAAAGTGGGTTGCAAGGGTTCTGCTTATCAGAGAACTGCTGAGTCTCAGGAAATAGTGGTCAGTTTCTGGTGCTTTCCAGTCTAAATGGTGCAAGCTCAGTGCCAGACTTTGGGAGGGAGCAAATCTGTGTCATCTACTGCTTGCATGCCTACTCCAGAAAAGGTACATTTTCTCCAGAAGCAGTGTTTCTGTTCTGTACAGGGACAGCTATGTCTCCAATATTAAAAACATGTTTACCTTCTCAGGCCTAAAGTAGATTTGGCTTCAATGAACTATCATTTCAAACATCCTGGAGGTTCTGGTTAAATCTAGAGAGAGGCTTACTGTATAACTCCACTCCTGAGTTAGAGCACTCAAGTCCATGGAGACAGACAGTAGAATAGACTTGCCAGGGGCTGGATAGAGGGAGGGTTTGAGACTTATTTAATGGTATGGAATTGTGGTTTGGGGTGTTGACACATTCAAGAGATGGGCAGTGTTGCATCATAATGCCATTGAACTGAATACTTAAGAAATGACGAAGGGCTTCCCTCAAGGCTCAGGCTCTCAGTCTTGTGCTATCTAGTGATCCCCAGCTACTGCTGCAGGAGTTTGATCTCCTGCCAGTGAGATGACTGTTCTGCTCCCCACTGTCTCTGATGAATCCTCTCACCACCCCCTGCACTTCTGGCCTATACCTCACTCCATTCTTATATACATAAATAAAAATAAAATTAAAAAAAAATGACAAAAGTAAAATTGATGCTATGTATGTACACATCACAGAGAATTACTATATCTGCTTCCATCTAAAACCATCTAACATTTCACCTGGGCTCTGTGGTTGCCTTTAAGGGGCTCAAACCTGAAGCAATGGTCTGCATTCCTTGCAAGGAATTCCTTGCATCCTGTCACTCCAGTTCTGCTCTGAGTCTGCAAAAAATTTCCTGGAGCTGTACATCTACCCTTTGGTTTCCCCATTTGTTAGTCAGATATGGCCTGGAAAAGCTCTATTAAGAATTCAGTTATACAAAGGCGAAGAGACTACATGGGTGACACATGCTGTGCAACTTCTATTGACCGACAAATTCCAGAGAGAAGAGATGCTCTGAAAAATCATAATTTCCATTGCTAACTTATGCTACAACCTCCCCTTTTTTTTATATAATCACAATATCAAAATATTCTGAGCAACCATCAGTTTACAATTGGACTGCCTTAGCCTCATAAGATGGCTGCCTGGCCCAGGCAAGCTGCCCCAGGGTGGGAAATTCTTCTGTCTCCTGAGACAAAAGGCAAGTCCCAGGAGAGATGACTCCCAGGGAATAAAAACTCCTGGGAAGCTTCCTTGTTTTTTTTTTTTTTTTAAATGAAAAGCAAATCTCTGCTAAGACTCTCAGGGCATAAGGGCTCATGGACAATATTTTAACCTTGTTTAAACAGGTGTTGCTTAATACATGACTGTATAACTTTTTCTTAATTTACTGCTTTTTAAAATAATCACTAACTACTCTCTGCTAGCCTTAAATCACCCTTTTCTTAAACAAACACTAACTACTCTCTGCTAGTCTTAAATTAGCCATTAGCTTTTCTTTAGACAATCACTAATGACTGCTAACACAATTTATTACTTCCCTAAGACCCCAAATAATCTTTTGGTAATAGCTCATCCTTTCCTAGATCCCTCTTCCCTTGAGTTATAGGTAAACATCTGTATACATGACAATTATCACAAATATGTGTAACTTAGTATACCATAAAACGTTAGAAAAAAATGCATTGTTCCCCTTGTCCTTGAGAATGTTTATGACAATTTATGGCATCTCTCATTAACTTACCCTATACATTATTGTAATTAACTACTTGCTACACAGTATAAATAAAGACCTGCTGAGAGAATGAGCAGGAATACTAGTACCCAACTCCGATTCCTGTGTCTTCCTCACGCCCATTCCCCTCTCCCCTTCTTGGAATATCGGCTCACTTCACTGACGCCTTCCCACCTTAGGGCCCTACCTGTCTCACCTCCTGAAAGCTAGATCCTTGGGGCCAGTCCCAAACCCATGGGTGCTGACATAAATGGATCACCAACAGAAGGACCAACAGAAATCTCTGATTAAAAAAAAAAAAGAGTAGGGCCCTCCCTGATGGCACAGCAGGTTGGAGCGCTGCACTGTGAAGCTAAGCCAAGCTGTGGCCACTTCTGTGAGTTCGATCCCCGCCCCAGAAGTGACCCACATGATGCAGCAGACCTCTCCTGTCTTGTCCGCTGCTCCCCTCCGCAGTGTACTTTGTCAGTCTGCCTGTTCTGTTCCCCACTTTATTTCTGTTGAATCCTCTTACTGCCCCTGCACCTTTGGACTGCACCCCATTTCTATATGCTTTCATAAATAAATCTTAAAAAAAAAAAAAGAGTAAAGGGATTTTCCCCAAAGGATCTCACTGTTAAAAATAGACCCGGTAATATGAAGCACCTTCTTTATAATTGTCTCTAACCTTTCTCTGAGACCAGAATTAGGGATAAATTAGGTAACTATCTGATACTGATCAGGAAATACATGGTATTTACACTTAAGATGTATTTAGTTGTATTTAATGACCTCATTCCTCAGTTCCTTTTTCATTAAATTATCCTTTATTTCCATTATTGCAGTTATAATGATGTGAATAAAGAGAAGGTTGTGCCAGTAGTCACTATTGCTAAGATCCTTGGCCCTTTAGCTTTTGTTCACATGATTCTGACTGCTGTTTGCCCTAATTTCTTTGGACTCTTCCAGTTTTAGCAGAGTGCAGTTTTACTGTGAAGCAGTGCAGTAAGTAATGGAAGGGACAATGCTAGAAACACAAAGATTACTGTCCAACAATGAAGTAACTTATCTATGAGAGTCATTATTTATTGCTCTGAAGGGAAATAGGGAAACTTCTTTCAAAAAGTGAAACATCTAGGACCCTCCCTGGTGGCGCAATGGGTTAGGACATAGAGCTGCAAGCTGGCTGCAGCTGCTTCACTGCAAATTTGATCCCCAGCCCCGGAGGTGACCCACATGGCGTGGCACATCTCTCCTGACCCGCCTGCTGCTCCCCACACCAGTGTACTTCATCAGTTGGCCTGTTCTGCTCCCCACTCTGTCTCTGGGGAATCCTCTCACCCCCTGCACCTCTGGCCTGTACCCCAGTTCTGTATGCATAAATAAATCTCTTTTTTTCGCATAAATAAATCTTAAAAAAAAAAAAAAAAGAAGTACTCCCAAGGAGGAAAGAAGAGGTATGCAGAAGAAAGAAACTGGGACAAAGAGGAAGGGATAGCATCTATTGGATACGGCAGGAAAGCAGCTTTCCAGGAAAGCAGCTTTCCCCCTGCCTGTGGTACGGAGGCAGTGCATTCACAGCTAAGAATTGTCCCAGCGTCAGCAAGGAGCTGCATCACTTGGAAACACCACTGAAGAAGGTAGCCTTGCAGCACTTGGGCACGTAGGTACTGTGGGCTGGGCAGCCTGAAGGCAGTCCACTGGCACAGACAGGAGCTGGCTGTTGTCGGCTGCAGGGAGAAGCACCCAGAACAGGTATGCGTGGGGATATTAAAGGGATGAAGAGATCAGAATGGGCGCTGGCTTCCTCCTGTACCATGTGTCCAGTTGAAAGGGTTCAATTATTCTGCATAAAGAGGAGAACAGACACGACAGATATGACAGGTGACAACAGGAGGGGTGAACAGATGAAGGAAGGTGGGAAGTCAGTGCAGGAATTAGTGAGCTGAGGACATTGTTAAAGAGAAGTTTGCCCACATGAAAGAAAGTAAAAGCAACCGCCATCTTGGAAGATGGGGATGAGATATGGGCTGAAATCTGGGGGACAGCTTAAAAGTCTCTTGAAAACCAGCAGGTTCCCTAGACAAGTAGCACTCATAATAAAGAAATTAACTAATTTGCAAAATTAAAGATTGTTTTTGAAAGGAGTTGCCCTGTGCCCAGCCGTAGGAATTAAATAAATCTGCCCACCCCAAGGCACATCATTAATCCCAGAGGATGAGAGGTAAAGAAAAGGTTTTACAAGTTTCCAACAAGAAAAACAAGGTGCAGAGAAGAATCAGATGAGAATAGAGCAGAAAACCATGAGTGAGTGAAGGGAATGGGTCTAATCTAATGGAATTCTTGATATTTCCTCAAAAACAGAACTGGGAACATATTTTTTT